GGAAAAATGGTGTATAAAATGAAGGGAATCATACCAAAACCGGGCTGGTGGTACTTATCTGCCGCTATCATTGCAATCATTAATCCAGAAAATCTACAGTGACATAAATTAAAGGCACATGTTTGCGGTATGTTTAAAAAAAACAGAAAAAAATACGAAAACTAGAGCTCATATCAAGTGAATGGTAGAAAACTCGAACGAAATGCCGATGACGGCAATTTTGATTGATAATAGCATAGCAAAACCAAAAAGAAGAAGAAATACCCCGCTGAAAACCAATTCCAAACAAACTAGGGGAATATCACGCTCCTGAATCTTGTGAGATATTTGAAACAAACATCAATTGTATGACATATTTTCGAATATTTCGAATGAATAAATCAGATTTTTGTGGATTTTGGAGATATAGATTTCTTGCATTAAATCCAAATAATTTATTTGAAATAAATACATTTAGATATCATTCATAATCACAAAAATCCACAATATTCCGCCGTATTCACAAATATCCACCATATTTCATACGACAGATTCTTAGAGATAAATTGGATTTTTTTGAAATATTTGAAATAATTTAAGCGTGATATTCCCCTAGCAAACAAACACACACGATTTGAGGCAATAAACCAGTCACAAGCACAAAGTAAGTGGTTTTTCATGGTGATGGAGTTTGATTTGGTTTCTGTGCTGCAACAAGTGATATTTGAAGTCACACACAATGCCATATTGATAAAAATAGTTGAATCAAGTTCTATTTGCCGTTTGATTTTTTTTTTCGTCGTCATCGTCTTCTTCTATTTAACGAAACAAAAACTCGTTTGAATTGAGATAGAAAGGCACAAAATTCAACAGATTTCAAATGGCAAGCAAGAAAAAAACAACAGAATGAATAGGAAAAAATGAGAGAGAGGGAGAGACTTTGAGCTCACAGCAAGCATCAAATAGAGCTGATCTAGATGGAATAACCGAACTTTTTCGAGTTCACATGGTGACGCGACGCGTATAGTTTTAATATTTGTAGACAATTACATTTACTGTTTTACTTGATTTTGTGTGATTCTCGATGTGTGTCTCTATCTCTCGCTCCGCGAGTACATTGGAAAACAAGAAACACAGTTGAAGACATTTAAGAAGTAAGAAGTTGAAGCTGTAGAAGAAGTAAAAAAAATGATCTCAACTATATTCGTCCAAGATGTGTTCCATACACATAATCCACACATATGAGCACGTGAACGTGTACATATATCTGTTTTCATAACGGTTTTACTTAATTTTATCTTTCTTAATTTGTTTTCTCGTCTTTTTCTCTCTTCTAGTTGAAAAGAAAACACGTTGAGAAGAAAGAAAGGCAGCAGCAAAAGCAGGCGCAGCCGTAGCAATAGCACAAGTATTAGCAGTTACAATAATCTCAAATAGAAGAGAGAAAAGACGCACATAAATACAGTTTGAAATCGGTAAGTCATGAATAAAACGAGTTGTAGAACGATGAAAAAAAAAGATTAATAATAATAAGAAGTAAAAAAAAATTGCGCATGTTCGCGTATTGCTGAGTCCACGGCTTGCACTTAATATATATGTAATGTATGATCTGTTGTTGAATGTACAGGTTGAAATCGATCTCAATTGAAATAAAGAGGTTCGCGCGTCCATTCAAAACACTAATCACGCGCACACATCGGGCGCATACTTAGATGGAGTAAAAAAAAGAAGAGAAAAATGTATCTGTCGTTTTGCCAGAATTTATGCATGCACTCACGATTCGTTTCGAAAGAAAATGTTGTGCTTTTTAATCCATTCACACACGAAAATATATGTATCGAAATTACATCAAACGAAATACAGATCATTATGCGCATTGCTGGTGTATTTACTTACAATTTGGATTGAGTAGTGCGCAAGTTTTGTTTTTTGTTCCCCTACAAAACGGCATTAAGCCAAATCATAGTTTCGTACTTTAAACTATTGAATACAATACGGTAGTTGCGTAGTTTAAGACAAGAATATAAATATGTGCAATTATAGTGTGTGAACTCGTTTTTATTTTTATTTTTTTTTTCGTATACAAATGATGTTTATACTGAATTTAGTATGCGCTTGCGTTTGGTGAGTGCTCGCTCGACGAATGGGCATGTGAGCGAGTTGATTTCGTATGGGCGCTGTCGTAATTTCAGGCAATGTTCGGTGTGCGTTTGGTTAAAATATTCCATCAATTATGGTGTGTGTGTGTGTGTGTGTTTTTTTCTTCTTTCATTTCATGTGGAATGCGAACACTGGATTCGATAAATGCCGTCGTTGTCGTCGTCGTCAATATGGCATTTTTGTGTGCACGTTCGCTCACCAGAATACGTAAACATGTAATAAAATGCAATTTATTACACGATGGATTGCCAGTCGCTTTTATTTTATTTTTTCGCCATAATTTTATGTTCCATCGAATATATGTGATTCGACAATTTCTTGTATTCGGTTTCGATCCATTTGAGAGAAGAAAAACGAATAAAAAATAATAAAAACAATATGTTTTCATATTTGCTATTCAAGTGAAGCCATTTGATTTTTCATGCCCAATGCTTGACTTTATATAAAAATTCATATTTCATGAATAGATTTCAACAAAAAAAAAATCGCTTATAATCCAAAAAAGAGAAGAAAAAAACCAACACGACAGGCTGTCGTCGATGTTCCGTCTCTAACTCGAGCTAGCTCGATCTCGTGCTTGGTATTTTCAATGATTTCGTAATTTGATTTACTTTGAATAAAATTGCTGTTGGCGGAGACTTTAAATTGCAAAATGTCGATTATTATTGTCGCTATTCGCGCGCTCTCCCTCTGTCTGCAGCTAGCTCATTAATCGTTCATGGCGGGCCATAAGCTATTTTCGCTTAATTCGCCTATCACCTTTACCGTGCATACGAGAAAAAAATGTGCTCGTGTCTTGCGGTGCAGAAAACAAAATTGCCAATCTGAAGGTAAGCACAATTTTGTTTTTTTTTTTTTTTTTTTTTTAATTATAGGTCTGTCATTCTTTCAAGGCGCTAACTTGAATTGCGTAGCTGACAAGGATCGCGCACTTGTCGATCCTTTTCCACTCGGGGAAATGATTAAAAAAAATTTTTGAACGAAATAAAAACACGTTTAAAATTAGCTTATGATACGTCGATGGAATGAATAAAACACACGCAAAACCTTCATTATTGCACGTCGGTCTACACACACCGAACGTTAAAGAAGATCGTTCGTTAATCGAATACAAACGGCAACAAAAGCAAATCGGCCGACTTGGTTGTGTTCAACAACTTTACTTGAAATGGTTCAGTGCACTTTGGAAACCATCGCAACCGCTGCCGTCACCGTTTTCGCCGTGCAAGAAAACGAAACAAACCTCATGCAAATCAGTTTACTATGCGCGTATCAAGCACTGAAAGGAGCTCCATTTTCATTGTGTAACGCGACGATACTTGGGTGCGATCGCACATAAAAATCGAATAGGTGAAACAAAAGCCAGGCAACAAGTAACAAATCAAGCGAGAAAAATCCCAACTAGGTGTTTCTATGCTATCGTTTTATTGAGATTCTCTCAACTTAATCTTCTTCTTCTTCCTCTCAATTTAATCTCGGTAGAAATGTTTAGTAAAATAAAGAGCCGAGATCAACGCCATCATTTGACGCCATGAAATAGAAGGTAAGCGCGTTATATGTGTTGAAAAAATCAAATGGCTGCTGACAATGCACACTCGACAATGCTACATCGCCCACCAAAACAGAATTAATATAACACACACAGCAGTTAATCCCATTACAATACGTACGTATCCAAAATAATAGCGAATTTAACAACGAGACAAACAAAACACCGTATAAATTCAAAAGCGTATTCTCAAGTCTTGAAGAGAAAAGAAGTCGAAAAAGAAATACCTGTTTCTTTTTATTTGTGAATGCTGCTGGTTGCCATTGCGAGCCAAAAGAAGATTTGGGAAAACAGCGACGAAACAAGTAACAAACGAAAAAAATAAATAATAACAAGCAGTAATCGAGGAGAATTTAACAAAAGCCGAACAAGTTGCGCTCATACACACGGTTGGGTATTCGATGGATGAAAAGTATAAATATGTTCTTCTGCGTATATGTAAGCGCACACAATTAATCGCATAGCTCCGGCTTAAGAAGAATTCTAATTCAGACCTTCTTTTCTAGTTGAATGTATTTATGTGTGCGTGCGTGTGTATCATACACTTGTGGATGTGCTTTGGTCTTATGCTTATTTCGGCAGAATTTATTCCGAACAAAAGACCAAACACTGTTTATGTTTTAATTGAGATGGGATCATGGAATTGGTTTTTTTTTTGTATGCACCACATTGACCGTCCCAAATTGGTGGAAAATTAAAAATTTCATTGTTTTCAATACGATCACATTACGGAATTGGTGTCGTGATTTCCATTTCGTAACGAAGGAAAAAATAGAATAAATAATACGAGATAATCCATTCTAGATGTTAATCGATTAAAATTTGGGAAATTGGAGCGACCAACAAACGAAATAAAAAACATTTTCCGTGTCCATTATTTGGAAATTCTTGAGCTGACATAAATTGAAGCGAAATGAAAGTATTGCAAGCATAGAAAAGAACACTTAAGACTTTCAAAATCGGCATTTTTTGTTCGTTGAATTAAGCAATCTACCGTAAACGGTTATTCGTGCTAAAACATTGTGTGACCTAAGACATTTGAATATGAATTGACAGCCGATTTGCATAGGAATGCCACTTTTTTTCCATTCAGAACTACTAGAAGTGATTCAATCAAGATTTCTTAAGTGCTCATCATTTAAAATAGGTAATAGATAGTAGAGTTACATAAAAAAAATTCTTTTGAGTAAAAAATTATCGTTTTTCAATCAAAACACTGCCGTTAAATCGGTTCGGGGAAGGAAAAAAAACCAATCAGGAATTTTAAAAATAAAACAGACACCAAAAATGAATGTATGGAAATGATGTTCACCTTTTTTGCACACATTCGTTCTTTCCTTTCTCGTTCACGTTGTTTTTGTTCGTCGTCGTTGTCGTTGGTTTCAAATCCAAAAGCTGCAAGAGTATTCCAAAAATTAATTTTCGATATTGGTTATGGTCATGTTTTTTTTTTCTCAATTGTTTCTTTCATTCAGTTCCGCAGCGGCGCGCTGTTGATTTGCGACCAAGAAAAAGTGTTTGTTTTTAGGCGATTCGCAATTGAATTTCGATCACTGTATCGAATGGAATTCGATTAGGATTGCTTATTGATAGACACACTCCATAGTCCACACACACTCTCACACACAAACTGTATACAAAAACCAAAATAAACACAATCAATTTATGGACGAGTACCGTTTGGTCAATGAAAAGAACATGAACGGAAGCAAATGAATTTTCTAATGTATTTTTATTTTATTTTCTTTTCTCTTTCGATTTTCTCTCTCTCTCTCTCTCTCTCTCTCTCTCTTCTGTTTCGTATTTGCCTCTTCGTTCAGCACAATAAAATTCACATAACAACGCAATAATAAATGGCGCACAACGTCGAATAATTTTCTATCGCCAATCTGGAGTTCTTCGAACGCAAACTCTCTTCAAGCCGCGAATCAGCGCAAACAAAAACACACTACAACAATAATAACAACAACGAATAAATATGTACTGAAACCAAATGAAAGAAGAAAAATAAAATCAAACTAAGAATCCACACACCAATCGATTGGAATGCTGTTACAACCGCTGCGACTATATCGATGTAGAAAAGTTACTTCAAGTCCACAGTCTCAGCGTTTCTTATTCGAATGAGCAGAAGGGAAAAAAAGACACACACAAAAAGATCCAAGATTAAGTCGTAGCACTTCGAAACATCTATCTCGTAGCGTAGTGCTGTATCACTACATGGCTTCACTACTCAGACGTTCAACGATGACTGACTCTCGAGCGGGTTTATTTCTTGGGCTTGAGCTCGTTTCTTCGTTCACAACTCAACCGTGGTATGCTTAACACTAACACAAAGAAACGAGACGATTGCTCGTGTATTATTCGAACCTGCGTCTTGTGATCGTCGTTATAGCGTTCATGCACGATAGCAAGACAAAACAATCACCAACTGCTCTAAAATATCTAGTTTCCGTTCGAGATCGCGTACGATCGCGGATCGTTCGATGCTCGTTGAACATTCGTTGGCAAACGCGGAATACACAAACATGGATAACGTATACATGCGCAGTGTATTAAGACACCAGTTTCGTTGCGTTCGTTGGGTCAATCGTCTCGGAAGAAACGTTCATCTCTTATAAACATCCGCTTACACCAAAAACCACTTCGATTTGTGTATTACACATACAGTAAGACCTCTCAACACCGATAAACCTTGATTCGATAATTTCATCATGAAAGATGATCCATTTCGATATCTTTGCCTCGAACTGATTTCATTGGTTTTAAGATAAAGACAAATGGCAAGGTTGTTAATCATAATCAAGTGATACTCGCAACGGTTCGAATGAATATCGCCTCACTTTTCGGCCGTTTATTGCTAAACTCCCATTGAAAACGCACTCTCAAATGTATACACTTAAACAATTCTTCTGTTGCCTCGTTTGCTATGTACATTCTTTCTTCATTATGTCCACCGCCGCTCTCGTCGATGACGATGATGGAAAAATTCTCTTGCCGTGTGTGCGTCGGTTGAGTATTGAGCAAACGCAACCGCTCTGAATTTGTTACGGTAAACTGCTGTCATTCGGCCAAGCACATGAAATGTTGTTTTGTTATTATTCGGCATGCGCTTTGCCCTAGAAGATTTTCGTGGTTTTTTCTTCTCTTTCAAAGACAGGCAAAAAGAATTGTAGCATGCATTGTTTTTAGCATTGCTGCCAACATTGAAAATTCTTTGAATTGCTCTCTATTTTTTCGCTCGCTTCGTGTGTCTGTCTATTTTGTGATCCATTAGTGGTGGCATGTTTTGTTTTTGCCGCCACGATATTTCGTTCATTGTTTTTCGCGTACAAACATTTTGCTTTCGGCGTAATTAATTATGTGCGACTGTGAGGAAATACGTTAAACTGCACCATTTATTCAATTTCTCAGCATACACACACACACAAACACTTGTGAGTGTTTCTTTTTCGGTGGGAAATGACTGAATGATAAGTGCCAAGACAATTTCAATAGTAACGAACCTATTAAACTAAAGCAATTTTTCAGCAACATGCTAATGCTGTCTCTGTGGCAAAGTAAACCAAAGCCATTTTTGAGGTGTTTGTTTCTTTTCAATTTATTCCGATTAATTTCAAGGCAAAGCGAAATATATAAGTCACATGACGTACTCCACAAAACCAACCGATATTACCATTCATTGTACTCAAATACCACACGAAAGGGTGACGTTATTGCGCTTTGTTTGCAATTTTCGAGCGTATGCATAGAATTTGATAAATGCTTCATTTCGCAGCTACGGATTACTCCATGTCAAGTATATCGAATTCACGCCTTGAGATTAAGTGAAAATAAAATCCTAATCATCATCACCATCAGCCGCAGCAGCAATGGCAGTCACAGCATCTTGCGGTAACACCTATCAAAGTTTACACATATAACATGAAATACCACTTAAACATTTCTCTCTTAACGCTTTATTAATTATCAAAACTTAATTAACAATCATAATGAAGTGATTTTTTTGAATGAATTATTATGGATTGTAAAGTTTGTGTTGCTATTATGTGTTGGAGTTTTTCGTCGGTTCAAGCTAAAACACCGAAATAAAAAAAAAACGATTTTAGGAAGGCATCGATTCGAAAATCGTACAACGAAAATTGTTTGGTTTATATTTTAGTAAATTGATGAGACCGGTTCCGGTTTAACTATCGATTACTTTTTGGTATCAATAAAAAAAAGAATTATCAAGCCATCTTAACAAAAATTCATTACTACACCTAGATGTCATAAGCTATAACTGCACAATTTACAAAAGATAACGTCACTTCTTAGTTAAGATATGTATATATAAAACTGGTCGTCTTAAAAGTATACGGCATTTTCCGTTGAATCGATTATCTCACTGGATTCCATAATGTCAGTCTGTGTCATGTAGATGATGGGATTGATTGAACGAGAGAGAGGGAGAGAGAGAAAAAGAGAGGAAATAATCATTATTCTTTTTTATGATTTTTTTTTGTTATCGTTTTTTTTTGCAAGCGGCAAAATCAAAGAGAGTAAGGGATTTTTCATACCTTTCGCAATGGATTCAATCCACCGTTGCTCCAACTCAATTTGTTCGGTGTGTGCATGGCGCGTGTGTCCTCTGGCAGATTCCATGCATGACGATTTGTTTCGGAATTTGAAATTGAATCATGCTCAAGATCATCGTCATATAAATTACCTCCGCGAGCGGCTGACGCTCTCGATATTATACCTGAATCGATTCATCAAGTATTTGTTTTGTTATGGACGTGCTTTGTTTTTTTTATTGCATTAGATCTGAGATTATTTAAATGTCTACAAACGGTTTTTTTGTATCTTTTCTCTTTTTTGCAGTTAGTAGATTTCCTATTTGGTTAGCATTAGCGATATAAATGTTTCGAGAAAATGTGTTTTTATCGTTCATTTTCGATTTGTTTGGTTTTATTTTTGTACATAAGTTGTATTTCTATTCGCAAAAAAATCTTCCTAAACAATTTAGTTAATAATTTATCATTTTGGTATTAAAAAATTTTTGGTGGAAAAGAAATTGTTTGTTTGTTTCGTTTGATTTTTGGTTTGTTTTCACATGGGAAGATCATCAAACAGATAGCTATATGTGTTTGTTTGTTTGTTTTTTTGGTAACGTTTTCCTTACGACCTATGGATTATAGTTCAATAAATCAAAGTGGACTCACTCCGCACAGTGGCTGTATAATTCTCCATGTCCCTATCACGTTGTGCTTCACGCTCCAATGTGGCGGCCAATATGGTTGAAGCGCCAGCACTTAGACTACTGCCCGACCCATTCAAATGATTATTGTTATTCAGCGTTGATAGGGATGTGAGTGGGTTGGCCAAACGTAGATTTGGATTTTTGATTGCATGTATGTCACTGCTTCCGTTTACCGTCGGAATGTTGTCACCATGGTGATTACCAACGACCAATTTCGATGCCGATGTTGCACTATGGTCTTGACTATGCACACGATTTCGACCGCCGATAATTTTCGGCTCTTTCTGCTTGTAAATGTACGTGCACATTGCAAGGATAATCAATAGAAATAAAGTGAACACCGCACCAAATGCGCCCAAAATGCTCGGTGCCCAACTACTTTGCGCCAATTCAATGCTATCGTTTGTGATTGTTATCGGTACCGTGCTACTTTTGGCCGGAAGTCCTGTATTGAATGGGGAATAAACATTGGGTTATTTTTTTCGTTGAACTACTCATTAATTGTAATGACATTTAACAAACCTGTGTCCGTTGCAGTCACCATTAAATGCATGACACTAATGTTTGGGACGTTTGGTTTCAACCAAAGCATACCGTCCGGATCGATTTGAAAGTAATCAGCGTAAGAGCCCTTCAAATCCAAGTTTATCTTATCAAATCGATCACCATCGGCTGCCTCTAATTTGCCGAGCGGAAAGGGTCGTGTCACATCGACTGACTTTGGAATGGAGAAATCGTAGGTGGTTTCACGAAACCGTGGCTCCCAATCGTTCACATCCAAAACCTCGATGACTACTTCGGCCGTTGCATTTGAAATGCCATCCGAGCCAACGACTTGAAAGATGTGCTTCGTTTGATTTTCATAATCCAACGGTTTCTGCAAAACTACTTCACCCAACGGACCAATGCGAAATGTTTTCGAAGCTTCATATCCCAAGATGAAATATTGAATTGCCCGTCCTGGACGATTGGTTGGCAATGCCATCAGACGACTTCCAATTCCAATATCCTCATTCACGCGAGCATAAAACTTCGACTGAACAAACGCAAATCCGTCATACTGCCGATTTCGCTCCGAATCTTTGCGTGATATAATCAACGTTGTCAACGCATAACGATCATTGTTATCCACTTGCGTTGCGCGAATCACCAGTGTAATGCTGTGCACGAGATCCATTTGGCCAAGTGGAACTTTCAACGTAATCGCACCGCTGCGTGCGTTAATCTCAAAGAATCTCGATTCCGGTGAATTCATGATGGAATAGCGAATCGGTGCTAAAATGCCCTCATCTTGGTCGACGGCCTTTATTGGTTCGGGTTGAACTTTTATCTCACCGACGCGTCCATCAACTGGCATATCGGCCCAATATGAATCGCGAGTGAATTTCGGATTTTGATCGTCGGCATCGATGATTATTACGTCGAGCGTGGTGTCAGAGTATCGTGGTGGGTTTCCTTGATCTTGTGCACGCAATGTTAGCGTAAAATTTCTGACTGTTTCATAATCGAGTGGTTTGCGTAAAACCAACGTGCCTTCAAGCGGCGTCACAAATGTTACATAATCCGAATATGGGCCGTCTAACACACGATATTCAACCGTCGAATACGGTCCGCTCTCATCCTCGTCAACTGCACGAGCACCTTGCAAAATTCTGCATAAACAAATGATTATTATTATAAACGGAGAAAGCAACAAAAAAAGATCAATCAAAAATCGTTCAAACAACAATAAATGCAATCACGAACGAAATTGTCTATATATTAATTGTGCACGGCACACACAAATGATTATAATTTTCAATGTATGTGTGTTTTTGTTGAACCCGTATCGCATGTATAGTTATTAATTTACGATGCATTGTACAAATTACCTTGTCCCCGGCACTGTGACTTCAGATATTGAGAGTATGTACGGTGCACCGATCCATTGCGGTGAATTATCGTTAACATCGACGACTTTTACATTAACGGGAATGACAAAACTCTGCAAACAAAATGTTGAACGAGCATAAATACATACGTATAAAAACAAAACGAAATAAAAAAATCTACAGATTTAATAGTCTTATTGCAAATAGTAAAGCGATAGATGTGTGGACACACCGGAGTGCGATAATATCCAAAGCGACATTGCAAGCAGCAAAAAAAAAGAATCAAAACAATAGGTAATGAATTTCTTGGAGACACGCGATTCAATCGCTCGCTACTCGCTCTCTCTCTCTCTCTGTTGAAATAAACACGTCCAATTGGATTTTGAGATTTGGTTTTCTGTGTATTTTTATTTAAACGAAAGCAATGGAAGTACATAAACTTTGTTACACACATTTCGAGTCGATTGGGATAGTGTGTATCGTAAAAAGCGGCGCAAAACTCTTTACTTGCCACGGGTTCATTCAGGGAGTTTTTTGCTTTCGTTTAGAGAAGGCTTCTCTGAGAAGCACAGAAAGAGAGAAATAGACAGTGAGTGAAAGAGAGAGGAATACCAAACATAAACATGAACGAAAATGCATATATAAAATTCCATGTGCTATGGTAACCTGGACAAAAATATTATACATATATATTCAAATACAATGCGGCGTACGGTATAGAAAACGAAACAAACAAACAAAAACGAAGTGAAGTGCCTCGTAAATATATTGATTATTTCATTCATTTAAAGCAGCGAACGACTTGCAACTGAATCAATTTCGTAAGAATGGAGGAGAATATGCATACAACGATGTGCTGTGCGCTGCACTACACACTCACATATACGGAGGTCAATGAATTTACTTGAGCCAAACATAATTTATGAAGCAAAATGTCATGTAATTATTATGGGAAATCGCTTTTGCTTTTTCGAGAGCACTTTTAATGTGTCATTTCCCCCGCGTGAGCCACGACACGAAGGACTCAATTCAGGAAAAAAAAGAAAAAAAACTGGTATCAAGTTGAAATTCAATTTTTCGCTTTTTTTAAACTCTCCAATCGTTGTTGTGTTCACACCATACATTTCGCAGTTGTAATTCGTAATAATTGCGCAAGAATGAATAGCAACTTACCGGGTCGGTTGTGTGTCGTCGTACACAAATGACATTTACGTAAACAGATGAGGGCCCCGTTTTACCTTCGCGATCCAATGCAATATTCAATACTAAATTCTTTGTACCCGGTGCTATAGATACCGGCGCATCGCGTTCTCTTATGCTCAACGAAATATTACCAAGATTATCTAATCGGGGATTTCCATTTATTGTTAACGCTCCTGCAAACCGACAAACAGACGAACAAAAAAAAATGAACACACAAAAAGAGAACGGTAAATCAATCGCATTGCAACACCACAAAAATTGACGGTTTGGTTTTTTGAATGCATGCACTATGATATTTACCAATCACAGAGCCAACGTATAAATCTTCGCTTGCCGTTAAACTTTCAGCTGATCCACCACCATCTAAATAGCATCTGGAATCGATTACCGATTGACCTGTACAAATACAAACAAGAAAAAAAAAACAATAAAAAACGATCGTTAATTGCGGAAAATGTGAGAAATTTTTTTAAATAAAATTTTTTTTTGCCGTTAAAATACAATTGAATGATTGAAAGAAAAAGCGGTAATATAAAATGTGACGAATTTTCAAAGTTGATTCACAACTTTCGGAACCACAGAAGAAACGAAAATCAATTGTACCAACGATATGTCTTTCACTCTTTTTCTATAATCGTGCACCAATTTGTTGCTGCTTTCTTGTAAAGCTGTCGAAAGCGTCCGTCAAGCGAAACAATTAACGTTCTCATACGCATTGCGTTTCGTCTAAGTTACTTTTTCTATACATGCTGTTTGAGTAGATATTTATCGGGTTAAAACAAAAAAACTCACGTTGACAGACAACAATTGAAATAGGAACGAGATTCGAGTGCTGCGAGAGAAAAACATACGTTAAAAAAACGAATAATCATAATAGATTCACCTCAGTTGTGAAATCGATGCTGAACTTTTTGTTGGAAAACATTTTTCGTGTTAATTAATTTCTCAAACTTTTTTTTTCAGTCGTACATTGATTGCGTCGCTTCGATTGCTTTGTCCAAGCGATATTGGATGAAAATTTTATGTAAAATATTTTGACATGCCTTCAAATTAACATTTTAATTTATTTTGATTGCCGAACACCAACAAATTCCATATGGATTTGGCTTTAATTTCTATTTCTTTTTTTCAGCTCGCAGCTTTCATCTGTGCGCCATTCATCAGCGAATCATAAGATTCATTAAACTTTTTCGAAAATTGCTCAATGTGTGTACGGGTGTTGGCTGTTGTTTTTTAAATTAAATTACACTGACTTATTTGTGCAATGTTACGGAACTGCGCGAAGTGCATTTACACAGCTGCGAACACACTCATTTCTCTCTAAGATTTACCAGCGAAGATAAAATTCAAGTTTGAACATCTAAGCACTCAACATTTTCGTTATACTCTACGTTTTCTGTGGTATGTCCATCACTTTCTCCATTTGATGCAGTAAAAGTGGCCCAAATGATATGGCCGTTGATGAATTTATCATTTCCGATACAGGGGCGAATTAGAACGGAATGATGGGTTGGGCTGTAACCCAGTCTATAGAGTCATTTTGTAATTTCATAACCGAAACAAAAAGCGGCGATTGCGATATTTTCTGCATTAGATTTATGAATCCGTGTTGAAATTCATTTTTGAAATGTTGTCATTTCCGACACTCACAATTAATCGAATACATATACACCGAAAAGGGAGTTATCCGGTATTAAATCTTTTGAGGATAGAGAGAGAGGGAGGCCTTTCGAAAGCATATCGAAAAACAAAGGCGATATTATTATAATATCGTGAAATAAACATTCATGTGCAATTTGCCACGAGAACATCGATATAGTTTATGTGCACTTGCCTACAAAACACGGCAACACGGCAACAGCAACGACATAATCAACAGCATAAAATGAGCGAACAGAAAATTGCATTCGCATGTACACCGTATTCAGCGAATACTATAGATAATAAAGTGAACGAAAGACACAGGAGAAAAAAAGAAACAAATCGGTCTCTATGAATGTTCTGTTGACGACCAAACACATTAAATCAACAGTAAAATATATGTGTCTGTGTATTCAACAAACAACAACAAACCGGGCTGCACTATGAAAAACAATGCAAAGCGAAAAAAAGGCATTAAATACATATCTGCAAGTCAGTTGAGGCGAAGGGGGAGTGAATCGTGTGTTTTAGTCGGTGGTTTCTCTCTCTCTCTCTGTATTTCATTCCAAAGTGAGGCAAGTGCATAATAAGTGAAATTCAGTATCATAGTTCGTCATCCGTAAATCCTGTCGTCGTCGTTGTCGTTGTTTTCGTAGCAAAGCACGTTTACGTTACGTTACGTTACGTTACGTACGTACGTTTGCATGTAATTATAATGTATGCTCTCGTAATTTCGTACGAAGAAGAATTCTTTATTGTTCGCCCAACAACAAGGAGAGCATGTGTCGAAGAAGAATGCCATCCACGATTCAAATGTGTCAGATGTAACACAGAACACAGCACACACACACACACAATAAGAATGATTCACTTATTAAATTGCTGTGTATTGCGTTCATGATCGTGTGCGCATGAAAAACCATCATAAGCGATGCCATATTGTCGTTTTTATGTGAAAGTTAACCGTGACTTTAAACCGTTCTCAGTGCGCTTCTTGCGCCAAATTATGTATATATAGTCGTTAGTTAGAATTTCTTTCTATGCTGCGAGTGCTAATTCGTTGTCGTGTGTAACATGAGGGGTAATAAATGACATTCGCCCGAAATAAGTATTCCAACTATTCAGACGATCCCTATTGCGATTTGGAAAATATGCCAAAAATAGTGAATGACGTCTCGATGCCATTCAAATCGCTGTGCTTCACGCTTGACATCCGATCGTATTACGACACACCATTTTTTCTGTCATTTTTCTTAATTAATGCAAACATCTTTGGCGAAACAAAAAAATACAGACACGTTCTGTTCATCTTCAACAATTCAAGAGACTTGAAACAAAAAGTGATGACCTTATGATGATACTCGTATTGTTGAAATCAGCGCTCGATGACTTAATGCCAGCCAGCCATACCCAATAATTACCCACTTGTGGAAATTTCATCGAATCGACGAAGGGAAAAAAAATCCACAGTGGTTTGAAATTTTGACAAATTTATTTGCAACGACAACCACCTCACGATTCGCGCAATATGTTATTTTGTAAATCGATTTGTAGCCCATTGCAAAAAATACAAAGTCTGTGTTACTTTCGCTCCTAATAAATAACATGTCATTAGATTGTACACATATTTTGTTGCCGTTGCCGTTATTGTTGTGTTCATTCATTTCAAGTTTAATGAATTGACTTTTGTCGTGAAAGAAAACAAAACAAAAATGACGAATTTCTTTTTGCAATGAACTTAAACTTACCAACGCAGCATTGTATTGAAATAAATCCAATTATTAGCCAGTAATTCACGCTCATTTTCGTACATGTTCTGGTCATTAGCGATATGTCACACACGCTATTTTCTCTTGCTGGCGTCTCGGTTTGTCTCTGGTTTCAATTATTCGTCCGCTTCGTCGTCATAATTGGAGTTTTAATAAACTGCAGCGGCTTGTTTCTTCTGAAATTTTCTTCAACTCTCGATGCGAAAAACGGTTTGTTTCTTTTTCCCTTCTGTTTTCAATCGCAAATTCTCATTCACGCACCCATTCACCAAACTAACCAACTTAAGAAAAAGTGCTTCGTATCGATTTCACAGTGATTTTGGCCGTTTTGTTTTTTCTTTTCTTCTACCGTCTTTTCTTTCGGTTTCTCTTTTGATATGGCGCTTTGTTAATAGGTTTTTTTTTGCTTCTTCTTTTGTCGCAAGATAGCACTGTCTTATAGTTCCGCTATGTAGAATAAAAAAAATGGTTTGATGTCAACGTGTTTAACTTCGAAACCAATTCCCGATGGAAATTCAAACACAAAAAAAATATATCGATCACTCAAATTCGGTTTTTGTCAGAAATCAATTTAAACTGTTTCGATTTGCCGTTTAAGAATAGTAATTAAGTGATTTTTCTTTTCTATTCTTGGGCTTCGAGAATATTCTCAATGGGTGCAGCATTCAATTTAGCAGCAATAAATCGTTGTCACACACTCGCATACATATACACATATTCACTTTAAAACTGTCTGATCAATTTAACGATCAAGTTTTTCACTCGGTTTCTTTTTTCGTTCCTTTTCTTTTTCTTTTTCTTGTTGTTTTATCTTGTTCACAATAATTTCCGTGCCGCTGACTCCATAACTCAGATTGATTTCGAAAGATTTGTTTCTACTTCAAAAATCGTTGAATGTTCTGGTTGCATTTGCATTTTTGCCTATTGAAAATGGAAGAATTTTTTTTTTTCAAATCAACTGTTTTTATCGAAGAATTATGGTTCGATTGTGGTGATTCAAATGTGCCACTGCCTTTCAAAGCCGAACAGAATTTACTCGAAATTCATAAGTGAATATGAGCCAATGTGAATTTTGTTATGTTTATTATGAAAATCGCATAAATTAATTGGTCGCCAAACATTCACACAGCGGCGAATGTAAGTAAAGTCGAATGTGGGCCACATTTTCGCAGGCAACATCAAATTGAATTATTAATTTTTCTGTAGTATTTTCGGCTTGGGCGCAAGCATTAATTTGGAATTACGTAAAATGGTTTCTTTTTTTTTGCGCTGTTGATTGTTGTTCGATGCATTTGGAGGCGTGAATTGAGCGGCGCGATAACGATCAGTAGGAAAATCACTGGAAATCGTTGTGGCCCATGTTTTCAAATGGTTAGGTGCGAATTGTACAGTTCAAGACACATACAACTTTGCTGCAATGGACATCCGTTTAGGCAATCGCATTCCGCTCTTCAAATTTGAAGCGTTTTCACCAGTTCGATGAGCACACTTTGCTAAATCATTATATAAATTGGCGCGCAAGCAAATGTGCGCGTTTATTAATATATTTTACATGCCTTTCCTCGTTTTTGCTTTGAAAACAACACAGCAGTTTCTCTCTTCAAACCAACGGACTTTTCGGAGATTTTTTTCGGTCAGCTTTTATTTGAAAAACCCATTTTTCGATGTTCGGTTTATTTGCAAATGTTCTGGGCAATTAAGCTTATATTTAACGCACTTTGACCAATCCCAAGTCGAAAGTATAACCACACGCATACTTCATCCGTTATTATGCGATTCAATTATTTAAATGCACTAAATTGGAGATTATGACTGAACTCTCCATATAATTCACAAGTTTTATTGCTTTGAACGCAGAAAAAAAAAACACAAAAGATATGAATGAAGCGATAGTTTGGGAAAAATGTACTCTATTCAAACTGCATAATGATTGGGTTTGGTAAATGGCATCGTTTTACCCACTTTGATCGATCGCTCATAAAGATTACAAAATTGAAATAAATGAACGTCTTGAATGTTATTATGTTTTATTGCGTTTGGGAGCGGTTACAGTTAAATTGAATGAATAGAGGTGCTTTGGATGTCAATAAAATTTAAGCATTCGAAATTATTTGCAAATCTTTTTACATAAACTATTTTGATGACGATGCAAAACGACGTTTTTTTTCTTGTTTTCCTTAATTCAGTTTTCTTCGTTCAGATTGTCGCGATTTTTATGGAAAATTATAGAGAACTCTTTTTTTTGCTGTCATCCGCTCCAGTATCGCCTGATGAAAGAACAACGGTACCTCTTCACTTATGTGTATTCGAGTTAACAAACTGCGAAATATGCTCGATTACAATGATTGTTGAAAATAGAGAGAGAAAACCCGTTCGTTGTCGCCTGTTCACAATACGAAGCATTGTGTTTTGTTTTTGTATATCGTGAACAATGTTTCAATTCGAGCGGCACTGGAAATGCAGCAAGCCGAATCGCTCGCAGAGCAGAATTATAGCGTTCGAATGATTACAATGATTGATAGCACTCATTTCCATTTGCATGAGTGGCAAACATTCTTGATCGTATGTGAAATGGCGATTCAGAAAAAAAGGATATTGAACCGAACGTCATAAGAATTCACTGAAGAATTCAATGGCCCTTATCCACAATTAACACACATTCGACGTAATTTTCACATGAATTATACAAAAAATGCACGCCATTCCACGTTTTATGGCCAGTTTTTTTTCTTCTACAGCGGTTTTCTTTTTTAAATCACTTACATCCTGTTAAAGGACTCTCACTCGCAATATATTATAATTAAGCACTTTGCTACTTCTAAACTTGGGTGACCCATTAAGTCGAAACGAAAAAAACGGATTCGAATTCCACACGATTTCAACTGTAATACGCGAACAGGAACAAGTGTGTAATGCTTTCGCTCCGAATGTATGGGGAAATGGCGGTGGAATCGGTAGACGCGTCTAGTCGATGCCAATGTTTCAGAATGACTGCTCGATGTCTCGAGCACGGTGCACAATGTATGGTGTGCTTATGGTTGAACGAACCAACGTCAAATTGGTGGTTTTCTTCGGTGCATGAAAAATAAACGCCTGGCTGAAGTATAAGTATGAAACCATTTCACAGCGTGGCAGTACCGAAACTAAGCCAAATTGTTGTTGTGCTTCCACTTGTGTGTGACTGTGTGTTGCTAGTGCTGTTTTACGGGCTAAATCAATGGAAGAGTATGTATACATGGATGAGGGCTCTGTGCGTTTGTTTATTTTTTTTTTCGTTCGTTTCGTTTCTTTTTCTACACATGCCGGAACCAACGAAGCGAAAAAGACTTGTGCTGCAATATCCAAAAACGCTTCTACGCTCATCGCTGTACATAATCGCCAAATTACTGGATTGCTACTGCTACAATTTTAAACGTTTTTTTTTGTTTCTTTACTTCTGTGTTGCTTCTCCTCCGTCTCTCTCTCTCTCTCTCAATCACTTTTTTACCACGAGCCGAGTAAGCCACATTGCGTTCACAATAAATTTTTCGGCATTTGCAGCAGTTTGTTACATTTTTCGTTGGTTTCGTGTACCGAGAGTGCCATGGAATCGCATTGATTTGAAGTCGACCGAAAACATGCACATGAGAAATGATTCGAATGAATCGGCAACAAAACAGTGTGGCCCCCAGCAAACATGGTGCATATATTAACGAAATATACACAAAACACCACATCCACCGCATGAACCATTTCCTATTCTAGTTGCTTTGCAAATACAAATGAACATGATGATCGTCTTTCAATCGGCCGATGTGTGCGATGAATTCCGACGAAAAATTGACTGTTGGATTTTGCAATTCACAACTCAAATCAAGACGGGCTAAAACAATCATAAAACAACGATTTGCAATGGGCCAAACTTAGAATTAATGGCCCATTCTATATTTTTTGGCTGCCGTCGTTTTATTTAATGCTGGTTTCATTGTTTTGCTATTGTGAAATTCACACACATACGATTCAAATTCGATTATTCACTATGAGTTGGCTTCAATTACAAACGAACAAAAAAAAACTAAAACTAAAACGCTAATTCCCTTTAAATAGTGCTTTGCTTAAATCAAACGAAATAATTTCCGGCGGCGGCATTGACCAGTCGCTAATTTTTACGTAAAAACACACAAAAAAGCCAAAATCAAATTGCATTAACCAAGAGATTTTAATTGGGTTGGTGAAGAATCACTGTGGAATAAAAATCGAGAGTGTCATTGAAACAAATAACAAAGACGCCGTTCTTCCGGCCTCTTCGCTGTTGCACACATTGTGGTTGCTCATTAGTAATCAAACCTGAAAATATACATTATTTAGTCGTCTTCGTGAACTGAAAAAAAAAACTTAATTAAGACAAAGTTATTTCTGAAAGAAGTGGTAATTTGTTTCTTTTGCAGGATTCCAGCGGAACCAGAAAAACAAGTCAAAATTTATTACACATGTTTGAGAGAGGATATTGAGTGTAACCACGATCTACGCCATTATCTGGATATTTATAATTTTTGTTTCTCATTTTTTGTTGTTGTTTTTTTGCAACAACTTGATTTTATTTTGCAAATATATGTGGATCATTTTTGATAGAGCTAATTATCGTCAAGGTAAAAAAAACGTCATAAAATGTCATAAATTTCTTTAAAACACCTGTAGAAATATAGAAGTATCGATTCTTTGAGTATTTTCAGATAACAAAACTGGGTGTTTATGGAGATGAGCTATTTGACGCTTTACGTTCTTAACGCATTCACAGTACAAAATTATCATGTCAAGTTTGAGATTGATCCGAGCGGAATTCAACAGAAGTAACGAGATTTAGCATTATATGGGAATGAGAACTGGAGATCTTTACTTTCAAAACACATGATTCATTCGTAAAGATGGAAGCAAAACGCTCATTTGTATTGATGAAAGTTGACTAATTAATGAATTGATTGAAAATCTCAATCTTCAGGACACGTGTTTTGGAAATGAAGCTAAAAATGAATTGAATTATTCAATGCAATGTATTGCTATTGACCACCTTGCTCTTGTTTACAAACAAAACCTACAAACACTAACAAATTTCAAGGAAACACAAGGGATTCGACACAACATTATTATTATTATTATTTAGCCTTCAATTCAACAATCGAAAATGTTTACACGTGGATGCGCAATGTGCATCAATCATTCTTCGAAACATATGCTTTTAGAATTCACAAATAATTGCGTGATTAATATGACTATCATTTATATCGTATAAATGAAGCGTTTAAATGTGCTTATTAGAACTGGCAAACAGATGTGTTTTAAACGAGCACACACTTTGTGCAGAAATCATACAAAACGCAATAAATCATACAACATTTTGATGTTGACTTTCTAATTTCTTCGTCAATGTGGAGGTTAACAATAATGCATGTGATGAGAAAGCATACCATCGAATATGAAAGTGGACTCAGACAAGACACTTGTAGCAAGCATTTTTTTCTCAACGTATTTTCACGTTGCATTCAAGTGAATCACTAGTGTACAATTTGGTCCATATTTTGGTGCAAATGTCCACAAAATTATATTGTATCCAAATGTTCTATTTCATAAAGATCTCTAAAAATTTCAAGAAATTTGATCCAATTTGGCACTATATAACCTACCTTGTGGACGTTTGCACAAAAAAATCGACCATGATTTTGAATTGTAATATATTTATATAACAAATCCCATTTCAATTTGTATCCAGTCCGATTTATTCATTTCCTTCAACTGATAACATATTCATCAAACAAATAAATGATAGACACCAACTTACATGCATAAATAAATGTAGGTGAATTCACTAATCCGTCACATACTATTGTCATTTGACGAATTCAGATCAACAAACCTGGGTTTAGAGCAGCTAGATCAAGGAAATACTTACATTTTTTTTATTATCAAAGACCATTAGTTGAAACGTAATCACTTTACTGTTAACAATTGTCTGTTACTTCCAACGAAAACATTGCATTACACTACCTTATAGAATGAAATCAATTCAATTTTATTCGACATTTTGGTATATATTTTTTTTATTAGAATCGTTAAAGTGATGTCTAGTTTTGCAATTAATCTAATGAAAGATTAACATAATCTTAGCATACAATATGTTCGTTAAATACGTAGCTGCTGCTGCAATATTTGCATCTTATAATGTTCGTGGTTATTTGATAGACGTATGGCACCTACATCATCATTTGGCTGTCAATACATAAAAGTTAAAACATATTCGTTCACATAAACATTGACATTGATATACAATTTCACATAAAAACTAAAGTTAAAAAAAAATTGATCGCAGAAAACCGCATTAAATGTATTTGAAACATTTTTGCTTGTCATGTGGAATTCGGGTTTTAAAAAGTATTGAGTCGGCTCTGTATTGAGTGTTGAGTAGCGGCATGTATCCGAATATTTGTGAAAAGAAATTGATGCATTTGTGGCGCTCTTGGAAATGTGTATCGTCTTCGCTGAGCGAGATCGGGCAACCGGGACAACGGAAGGTCCATCGTGAAGTGACCTTCACTGGTGGTTTTCGTGTGATATGAGACACAAGGAAATTCATTGCAATATCCTCGCAGTTCATGTACTCATCGACCTTGTCTCGAATTGCCTGTGGCAGAGTATACGTGTACAGATATGTGTAGTATTTGTGAAAGAAAGCGGCACCGGTCAAAACCATGCTCAGTTCGCAGCTGTAATTCGAATTGTAATTCCAAGCGCTGTTGCTGTTGACATCCCAAGCGTGAAATCGCCCAGGAAAGCCAACGACTCGGTCTCGATTTTCACGCCACACGCGAAAACCAAACAAAATCTCATCGTGCCGAAGGTGAGCATCATCATCAACGGAGAGGATGGCTTCCGTTTCGATCACATCGTATGGCAAAAATCGATTGTTCAACGAATTTTTTTGAGCTCGAACAACGCTAACCTCAACACCAATATCCGGCCAACGTAAATCTTCCATGGGTGGTTTCGGGGAGTTCCACACGACAATCACTTTGTGCAGATAAGGTAAACCATATAATCGGCCGAGCGAATCCATCAACACTTGCTCGCGTTCGTAAGTCAACATCACAATCGTAAATTGTTCGCGAGGATAGTTACCGCCCAGAGCTTCAGCAAACTCCTTTCCAGCTCCGCCTATGCCTTTGCCAATCGGTCGGAAACCTATGTGTGATCCGATGAATTTTGCATCCGATGGCAGAACTGGATCGAAAGGTAATTGTGGATAAAGAGAGAATGGATCCAACCAATCGTTCCATGACTCTTTGTACTGTGTAATGGTGTAATTTCGTTTGTACGCCGGACTAGCATATGGCGGCTCAATTGGACCGAGCGATTCTTCTTCTGGTTCGGCATCTAAAACGGGTGGATCCGATTTCAATGGTGTGAACGATGAATTGAAGACGCTTTGAGAAATGACCGGCTTGATGGCTTTCGGTGGAATATTCAATCGGTTTCGTATGTATGCAATGATTGTGTCGATAGTAGCTTGTACTGTGCTGAAGTATCGTTCCCAAATCACACGACCCTGGCGTCGCATGGCCAGTAAATCATTATCGGGGATGGCTCGCAGTAAAAAGTGCATTTCGGTTATTCGAGCCTTAGGCAACATAATGGCAATGCGACGCCAATCGATCACCTCTTCATATGGCAGTGATACACAATCGGCACCCAAAATGACTGGAATCGCACCAGATCGCAACGATTCATATAAACGAGCCTGTAGCAAGGTTGAACTCACCTCACCCATGCCCGGAGACAAGATTAAACTAAATGTGGAGTCTTTTAATATTGCTTTTCGTGATGAATCGGTTCCGCATAACATCCAATCACGCACTAGCCCAACCCCCTTTTGCTCTGTTGCCGGAACACATTCGAATTGTAACAAGAATTTGTCTAGGCTCTTTCCATTCGCAATCTGCTTCAAGTGTTCAACGATGAAATTGTTCAGTGTCGTTTCTTCATTGAGCGATTTATCGGAATGGTTGGTGTCATTTTGCGATCTTATTTCCCCTTGAAATGTGAGTAAATATTTCCTTCGAGCTGGGACAATGGGCGCACACTCTTGCCATACATCGCCGTTCGGCGGCCCCAATGCTGGCGGTACAATTACATCGAAACCACTTCGGTATTGACTCTCACTGAATGCTGATTGAACAATAATCGCTCGATCTGTGTCGTGATTGCGGAAAGCATTCCCAGAACCTGCACTCAAATCACGTCGCGCCAAATTGATGAGAATATGATTCCGACCGTCACCGCCCCAATACGGCAATTTTTTCAGATTCGTTGTATTCAATGAATTGTGTTTTGTGTGTGATGTACTCTCACTGGGAATCGAATAACGATTGTTTCGCATGATTTCATCGTCCGGGAGTGCTTCGCCGACCAGCACTAAGAAAACACACGCTTTCTTTGGGTCATCGGTCATGTGCGCATTTTGACTGGATAACTCTTTAACAGTTGTCTTGAGAAAGCCGTCGATATCGAAGCCATCGCTAATTATTTGAATTTCGTCCGGGTTGTAGAGATAAACAGGGAAACCAGATGTTAGGCTACATCGTGAGTGGTCGAAACATGTGCTCATTTTACAATTTATCGATTCGGTATGACTAGCGGACGGATATTCAGTCGGTAGTTTACCGGCGTACATTGGTTTCGGTAGTGCCAGTTCGGGAGTATTTCGTTGCACGGCTTCACGCTGAGCCACTTGTGCCTGTTCGACGGATATTTTTAGACGATCCAATTCGGTTTGCTGTCGCAGCAAATCCTGTTTGATTTCGTCGATTTTTTGGTTGTATAAACTGATGTCGGTTTGAAGTTTCTGTCGTCGAGACTCCAATTCACGCAGTTCTAGCGATACGGTACTCTGGGAAAAAGAGATGGAATTATTTAGTCTATAAAATGAGTATGTTCCTATTTACATTATTGAAGAACGATTTTCAGTCATATAAGAAATAAAAATTGGCCGATTTCTTCATTTGAAGCATTTTTTTTAAAGAAGAAGAAGAAGAAAACTCCACCGATGGCCTTTAAATACCTTTATTCGAAGCATTTCTTCTATGCGCAGCTTCAGATCAGACGCCCGTAAATTGCTAATATCCTCATAAACATCCAATTGAGATCGAGAATGATGAATTTCAGTTTCGTTGATTTCGGTGTCCACCTACAAGCAAATCATATTTATCAATCATCCAAAGTATGGAATACGAAATTATAACTTACATTCAATATGTAGTAATGAGCTAGCATGGGAATGACAAACAGAAGAATCAGAATTAGGCATATGATTTTGTAAACTTTGATGTGTTTGATCCAATTGCATAGTGATGATGTAAAATTGGTGTTGCTGCCGCCGTTTGATGTAAGTGGCCGATACAAGATATTGTTATCGTATGTGCTCATCTTGTATTCTTATAGAAATAAAACGTAAAAACCATCAAACTAATTACTAGAAACACACGATTTACACCGTAATATTTCTATGAAGAAAAAAACTTCTATTTCAATCCATTTTAAACGTAATTCAATGTATATTCAATTATCTAATCTCTGTCCGCATTCTTTCTTTGTGCGATTTTCCGATGGGATCACAAATTACTCAAAACTATGAATGAATGCTTCCAATGAAATTGTGTTGTGGAAAGGATGTTTTTTTTGGTTTATTGATAAATTTTCGCTTCATTCAGAATTTTGTTTGACGTTTGTGACACTGTCATGACAGAACTGACAGACGCATGTCGTACATTCACCATCCGCTGAATAGCTCAAACCATATTCAGCACACGGTGTAGTTCAAATACGAAGAGAAACTAATTTTGATACTTTTATCTATTTTTTATGCGAAAAACAATGAATATATTTTTTAAGGCGATGAAATTAATTTAAAATAAGAAAAAAAATTCAAAATCAACCGAAAATAGTTCAATTTCAGATTTTTCCAACAAGAACATATCCGATTTTGCTGCTCATCGCTTGACATTAGTCGTGCTATGGAATGACAGTTCTCCATTCATTGTTCAGCACGATGTATAAACCATTGCAAACGTAGAAGATAAAGAAGTCATACATTTTTTTTTGTTAGTGTGATTCCTGCGTAAAATTTGATTGCCAAAAATAGCCCGAGTAAATCCTTTTCACGTGCAATTTTCGCGACAAAATCTGGAAAATTGCAAATTTAAGGTATGCAAGTGTATTTAAAAGTGGTAAAAAGTTGGGTTATATTGAATTTTCATATGATTTTTTTGTCCAGATTCATTTCGAAAATAAAATATGGTTTTCTTTGTGTTGTAGGCCATCAGTTCCTTGACAGTGACAATGAAAATCTAACCACTCATAACAGTAATAACAATAACAAGGCGAACGCAACATTTTGGTTGCTCCAATTTGAAATGAGAGCATTTTAACCTTGAAAGCAAATAGCGGCAACAATATTTTTCGACGGCAGGATTGTAGTTTTTAGAGCACAATTATTTTCGTTGTTGTTGTTGTGTTTAATTTGTCGGCCACAAGCGCTAGCTGAATAAATAATGACTGATTCAAATTGGGAAGCATTGGCTGAAATTTATCTACGACAAATTGATCCATCCGAACTTGAGGATCGTGAATATACGCTTTGCTTGTGTAGCCGTGTATTGGTTAAAAATCAAAACGAAGCCGTTGCGATCGAACAAGAGGAATTGAGCGAAGCGTATGACATTTTCAACGAACAGTATTGTGAAAATCACCCCGCTACCACCACCATGAATCGAAAGGAACATTCACAAGAGGAAGAAGATTCCGATGCAAACAGTTGTTATTTTTCGGCAAGTGCATCGCATACCGATAATTATTGCACCACTGATGAACATGAACGTGACAGTGGTGCGGATATCTCTGAATATCATGGCGTTGCCAGTACGTCGCGTGAACAGTTCAAACGATCGCATCGCGATGAGGGTAGTAAAAGTAGTTCAACGAGCGTTGAACGTGATCAAACCAACAGTTTGTCGGAGATAGTCGAAGAGAGAGACATAAATGAGCAATGGGAGAAATTTTGGTCGAAAAATTGCGAACGATTGATTTGGACGTCGTGGATTGAAAATTATTCCGATTTTATTAGCCCGGAATATCAACAGTTGCCCGATGAGAATTGTGAGAACGAACAAGAAGAGTTGCAGATGGAAAATGAAGAGAGTAAGGCAGCCGATGAAAACAAGGGATCAACCGAACCAACAACAGAAACCTCACCGTCAGCCGAAAATCGTGCAATGGCCATTGTCGTTTCAACTTGTTCGCCCGATGTAACCGAATCCAAAGCAATCAATAGTGATGAGCTAAACCAATACGATTCACACTTGCGAGATATGATGGACAGTTTAGCATTGCCGCGATGCGATTCGGTTTCCTCAAGCATTCCAATGACCATCAACACCACCGATTCCATGACCAATGTCACACAAATCACTTTGTCCAGTTACGGTTTCTGCAGCAGTCGCATCACTTCATCGGAAAATTCACAAATTTCGGAGAGTACACCATCATCTCTATCGGCACCATTCAATTTTGACGAAGAGGATGAAACTAAAATCGAAATGATGCACGAAGAAGATTCGGCCGATCAACAATGGCAGCTACTCTGGCAACAACACTACCAAGAACAGTACAATAAGCATTACACTGAATTCATGGCCGAACGCAAATGGGCGAAAACGTGTACGTTGAGCAAAGACACCAAGTCAGTGGCCAGTGAACCCATTAATACGGATGACGATGAACTAGAGTTAACAGAACTAAAGCAATTGGCAGAACTTGGTCTGCCGACATCATTTGGTGGTAAATTCAAAGGCCATTTCAAGCATCCAAATTCACGTCAAACCGAAGAACCGAACACGGATCGTGCCAAAGCCGCATTCACTCTTATGGGATACTCATTTCAAACTGACAGTTCACAAGACTCAAACGGGCATGTGATGTACAGAAAACGAAACATTCGATTGCATAACAACATGTTAAAGATGAAAAAGAAGCGCATCGACTTGGATAGTTCGGCTCGTGATGAAGCGCTGTTGAATTTGATAGCCGATTCATCGTCGGATGAAACCGATAAACCAGTTCTCAGTATCAACCTTGTAAAACAAGATTCACCCGAGCAAAATGCACCGAAAGAAAATGACACCAGTAATGTTACTGACAGTGTTAGCACCACAACTGATGAAGCCACCAACAAAATCGATTGCAGTGAAAATTCAAAGGGCACTGCCGTTGCTGCCGAATGTTGTCCAACGAATAAATGTGATATTGCCGTTGAAACGAAGACAGAGGTGGAAGCCGCTACAGTGGCCATCGTCGAAGACAATATTGGTGAACCGGTCGCAAAATCGAATAGCAAAAAATCGAAAAAGAAACGTCGTCAAAATAAGATGCTTGCCGGATTACCAGCGGAAATTGCAAATGATCGAACACTTTACAAATATTGGTGCAAGCGATTTTCACTATTCTCCCTATTCGATTTGGGCATCAAACTGGATCGTGAGAGTTGGTTCTCGGTGACGCCGGAAAAAGTTGCAATCTACACAGCGATGCGCTGTCAATGCGATGTGATTGTTGATGCATTTTGCGGTGCTGGCGGAAACACCATTCAATTTGCGAAAACGTGTCAAAGAGTTATTGCGATTGACGTTGACGCAAAGAAAATTGAAATGGCAAAACATAATGCGAGTATTTATGGAGTGGCCGATCGAATAGAATTTATCGTTGGTGACTATTTTCAGTTGGCGTCAACGCTCAAGGCTGACGTTGTGTTTCTCAGTCCACCATGGGGTGGGCCACAGTATCTGAAAGAAGATGTTTACGACATTGAAACTTCATTGCTTCCGTTGCCCGCCTCCGAGCTAATGGCTTTCACCCGACAAATCACACCGAACATTGCCATTTATTTACCTCGCAACACAAACACGTTTCAACTGGCAAAACTCGCCGGTCCCGGCAATTCAGTCGAAATTGAACAAGGATTTTTAGATCGAAAACTCATTGCAATCACCGCATTTTATGGGAATCTGTTAAAAAAAGCACCGGCCTAAAACTACATGCGAAACAGTGATGGTTTCAGCATTAACGTATGACACAATAAACTAAACAATCTAACGATTTATTTGTACCATTTTAATTTGAAACATTTTCGCTTTAAGAATTTCTATGGAAGCCAAGCTTTTGATAGCAAAATTTTTTTTCCCGTTCGTATGATATTCGTATGCACAAAAAGAGATAAGCAAACACCGAATCGAAATCAAAATATTGGTTTTTACGTTCAATTGGTGAGAAAACTTGAGTACAAAATGTTATGAATAAGTCTATCGTTTAATTTATACTATGATTATCATATCGCAATATTTTTAAGCGTTCATAGCCAAATTTTTGCTTCCATGTGACAAATCAAACTGATTTCTCTTTCAGCTTTTCATCATTTAATCAAAAATCATTGAAATGAACGAATTCGTTATTTTTTTCAAAGTCAAAAGCTTCACTTATGATTCGCAAAAGACATTTCTTTTGTCAATTTTTTAAGGTAATTTTTTTTCCTCGTAAGACTCAGTCTATATTAGTGTGAAGAATCTTCACTGAAGATATCGATGAAAAAAAAATAACAACAACTAAAAACGTATCCTATCTGAATAGAACCATTGTCGAATGTAATTTAGATTAAGGTGGAACCATTTTGTAAAACAGTGAACGAAAACAGATGAATTTTAAAAATAAAGAAAGACGTGAATGAAATCCATTATTATCTGTGTGTATGTATCTCAATCAAATTTTCGCAGAGATGTAATTGTCGTGTGGGTTTATTTTTTAATTATTTTAATAGGGATGCCTGTAAATTTAAATGAACCGCCCCCACAATCGTTGTCAGCCTTGCGACTGAACAATGGATGAAAAGTCTCTCATGGCGCCCTCATTCCGCACAATCTTCGAACTTCAAACGCATCTGTAGAATAGAAGTGTGCTTTCTATTCGTACACACCACACCAACGCTAGCGCGCGCACACATATACATACACGTACACCAGTGTAGAAAAGTCGAGCTTAGTTGCTTTGTGTCAAAAATGGATGGTTTTTGTCTGTCGCTGCTTTGTCATCGCAATGGCACATAAAGCTATGCTAGATATAGAGAACAAGCACAAATACCACAAAACCTACACGCACGCTCACGCTTACACACAAACTCACTCACTATCAAACATACACGAATCTCGTTGCTCGCTCGCACTCTCGGTGGTAGGCACAGTGAAAATGAAGAAAAGTTCAAGCGACGAAAAACGTCGCGGGAAAATCAATACTGCTTGTGTGACGTCAGTAGCAAAAGCAGCAGCCACAGTAGAGAAGCAGTAGTCGCTTCATCAGCCGTAACACATAGCACACAGTAAGAACAGAAAGAAAAACACAAAAAAAAACGAAACTGAAATTGTTGTACAAAAAAAAATTTACTAAAAATCTGGAAAATTACCAACGAGTTGAAGATTTGTGTTTTTTGTTTGGTTTTTGTTCGTTCGTTTTTAATACAAAAAATAAAATATAGACACTCAAGCAGAAGAAGAAAAAAATTTATTTGTAGAATGTAAGTGATTTTGTGTATGTGTGTGCGCGCGTGTGAAACAATTCCCTTTTTACGTGAGGATTCAAACAGAGAAAAGAAGAGAGAAAAAAGAAATGAAACAGTGAACCAAGAATATACGACAACGACCATGTTTATTCCGAATTTTGTGAAAATTCCATTCGCTGTTTTTGGTTAAACGCACATCCAAAACGAAATTTCCGCCAATCGATGCCCAACAATTTGTGTGAAGAAATTTCCTTTTTCGGTCGAACGGCACGAATACAGACAGAACGAACGAAAAAAATTCGAACGAAACCAAAAAAAAAATAAAACACATAAACTGAGTGAATTGATTCAATTTGTTTTTGGTTAAGTGAAAAGAAATAAAATCGTCTCGAAGGTGAATGTGTATGTGCGTGTGTTCGTGTGCGTGTTAAGTGTACAGGAGTGAATGTACTCAAGACGAATTCCAAAATTCCACTACAAGAAAATCTCCGAATGAAACAAAGAAGAAGCGAAAGAAAAAATTTAGGAAAATGAATGGTTGATGCGTGGGGAAGATATTGCAATATAAATCGCAAATTTTTTCCATATTTGTTGTCAATCACCATGGAAATTTTCACACAAAATCATGGATACACGGGTGAAATCATCAAAAATATGGTAAATTACAACTAACCATGATGATGGCTACGGCGACTACGACTACGACGACAGCAACAACAAGAACAACAACAATAACATCCGAAGCAGCCACAGCAGCAGCAGTTACAGCAACACAAATAAAAACAACAACAACAATCATACAGATTCCAGTCTATCGATTGTAAAAAGCTTTAATTTGAGTGAAATACACTCAAACATATTAATCGTTCTGGTTTTCGGTCATTGCAACAAACAAAACCAAAATTCTACTCTAAGGATTTAAGGCCAGCACATTCAATATTTTTAACTATAAACTACGAATCTATAGAACAACAAAAAAAAAGAGGAAAAGGTGATTATCCATTTCATTCCATTGAAACTATGTAGGCATTCCACATAAGGTTTTGATTGATTCGAAATGCTTTGGTTCAAAAGGAAGAGTTCGATTTGATGAGGAAAACAGGGGAACAAAATGTCTTTACCTTGACACATAGGAAACTAAAATAACAATGAAAATGGAATGTGGAATTTTTGAAGCCAGTAAAAAAAATTGAAAAGCTGTGTGTGTGTGTGTGCATGATGATCCTAAACGTCTGTATATTCCACTCAGATGAAACGCGAAGTCTGTCATCGGTATGTTGTTGACAATGCATTCTTCTTCATCAATATTACGCGTCGCCACTTTTGTTCATCTTTTTTCTATTGCTCGTCATTCAACATTTTTTTTCTCGCCTCTATGTCGCTATCATCGAAATACCTTCGTCCGTTTGTTGCGTGTTTTTGTTTGAAAACTTTTGTATCGATGTACAAGAGACTGTGAAGGAGATAAGAAACGACTGAAACAAACACCAATTCGAGTAAATATGCTCGTACAGCGTTGTCGTCGCCGTCGTCATGATGGTAAAAGACACACGCGACATGAATCCAAATTGACTTCTATCATACACCGTGTAATGTACGGCGATAGGGAGCGATAGAGAGAAAAAAAAGAAGAAGAAAAAACAACGACAATTTTATATTTAGCCTCAATTCACCGATACGCACTTAGGGATTGTGGAAAAGGGGATGGATGATGTTAGCTCTTTTGTGATCCATAAAAAAAAGTTTTTATCATTAATGAAAGGGAGTGGAACGATTTTCATAACAAAGCTTATAAAAAGAGAGCAACAACACATACGCAGAGTGCGGAGAGAGAGTGTGTGCGTGTGTGTATGTGTGCGAGCAAATAATGTGCCAATTTGAACGGCATTGCATTTTACTGTATTTTGTCCACGTGCGATATCGAATTGAATTCATTGAACCGCAGTTAATTTAGTTTGGTCGCTGCTGGCTATTTATGGAGTTTAAATTTTCATACACACAAACGCGCGCGCTCAATTCACATAGCACTCATACGCCATGTTATACACGTCGAAAACTTGCTCGCCGAACCAATTATATATATTGCATGTGTAAACAAGCTGATAAAAATAAACGTACCATCATTTTATCCAACAATATTATCACTATCATGGTATCATGGTTTGCCGTTCACTCAACTACGTTTGTTTTATTTTTCTCTTCTTTCGTTCGTTCTTTTGTTGGTTTCCAAAACAAATTTTTTTCAATAACTCGCAACCGCATTCATCGGAATGCTCGAACTTCGATAATTTATTCAAAAGCACTAGAGTGGAAGTAGATTTATCGATTGGTTTTCCTGAGTGAATAAATGAAATTAAAGTTTTGTGTTTTTTCACCATTTTACGCATATCGATAAACGGATATATTCCCAAATCTAATCCAAATTTTCCAACCCAAATACTCGACACAGATTGGGACGCAATCCTTTTGGCATTTTCGATTGGAATTCTTGAACAACAAAAAAACGCTTTCAATTCAATGTTCCAGTTTGTAAACCAAAGAAAAACTACTGCATTCTTTAGATCGAATGTTTATGTATGGAAAAAAACAACCGATTTAAAATTGTTAAAGAGGGAAAGACATTGAAAGAAAAACCAAAAAAAAACTTACAAGATAACTCAAACCCAAAGGGATATAAATAACACACGTTTCCATATTAATTATAAACCATGTGTTTTCATTTGATTGCCATTCAGTTTCCATAAATGCATGTAGTATCAATGCGATGGTAACATATGTACATGCGTTCTTCTCTCTCTCTCTCTCTCTCTCTCTCTCTCGTATGCGGAACAAATCCGTTACACAGCCACGGACATATCGCACATCTTCTGAAGCAACAATGAGATTCCATGAGAAAGAGAGAAGAGGGAGTGAACGCGAGCGTGCAAGAGAAAACGAAGATGAGAAGAAAAAAATCGGACAAAAGACAAATTTTATTGTGACAGCTGTGACAGTTGTAGCACTTTCCTCGGTTCTCCACTTTCTCTTACTCCTTTTTGCACATTAAGTGTCTTGTTGCTTCATCTGTCGGCCTGTACGACATCGAAGTTTTCTCATCTTTTTTTTCTCTCTTGTCTTGTTCAGTTTTTGCTATAAAAGGAAAACTTCGATTGACCCCAACATATAAGTGGTCGATCCATGCCATATGCGTACGAATGGTAATGCGAAATTCTATCCGAATAAAAAAAAATTATCCCAAAAAAATGCGACACAACGAAAAATCATTTTTAAAGCATCCTCCACCAGATGATTCATTCGAATCTTTTGTTCAACATCGATCATGATGAGTAATTGACAACAGAGACACAGGAAAAAATGACTTGATTTATACACTTTTCAGACAATCGATAGAATTTCATGCAACGAGCGCGAATGCAGGAGCAAAACATAAACCATAATTGAAGATCAACGTATACAAACACGCGCGCAAAATTTATTGGCCAATAGAAAATTACGGCCAGAACGGCAGTCACCTACATTTCGATTCGTTTGATGTATATCCATTTTCACATTCAGCATCGATACAAACAAATGGAATACAAAGTCAATACCAATACCAAAAAACAGAATTTCAAATGGGCATTTATTGCAATGGTAAACGGCAAAGCGTTACTTACAAATATATATCGCATCACATTGAATAGTGAATTTGGCGAATCGCTTGTGTACACCACAGGCAATAGAGTGAGAAAATAAAGAGAGAGAGAGAGATATTGTCAATGGTGTAACACACCGTGGAAGGGGATGGTGAATAACGTGTATGAGTATCAATTTCGTGGAAAACCATGTATAATAAATGACCGAAAAGCCTCGTTCAAAGACAATCGAGAGATGAGAGAACAAACGAACGAAACGAATGAACGAACTAACCGAATTCAAAGAATATATAATGCGTATGTGCACATGCGCGCATACAAAAATCGCACAAAGCCAAAGTTAAGGATGGCTAAAGTTTTATATTTTACGTATGTATTGTGTGTATGTGCACCACATACCTATCTCTCTGTGGCTCTGTGATTCAAATTTGCCATTTCGCACCTATCCCGTCGTCTCTCCGCATACACACGCTCTTCGTACACGCACACATGCCCAAACGCTTGCTCAATCGCTCGCTCGCTTGCTCAATCTCTGAATTCTAAGCGACTTCAACGACGACAATGACAGTGGTGGTCGTTGTTGTCGACGTTATTCGTCGAATCCACAACGTGTTTGTTCCAATGGCACGGAATAAAAATTAAAAATTTACCAATTTCCAGATTACAATGTTAAAATTTCATGTGATGTGAAAATAAGCAATATTTTTCATTTGTACGTATCTAGATTATGCGGAAAAACGCTTCAGCCAGCCACTATAATTCGAATCGCTTTCGCTTTATTTGCTTCTGCATTCAAAATGATACCAAATCGCGTGTGTATTCATGCTGGCCAATGTTTTGTATGTATATGTTTGTGTCTTGTCTGTGGCAAAAAATGATTTGTGATGAGGTTTTTGGGTAGTTTTGTATTTGCCCGTTTTATTCACTAGCAAAAACAACGTTGGCAACTTTTGTTTTGTGAAACCAAACTCACACACACAGAGAGAGAAAATCTATGTAGAATATCTTTTGCCGCGACCATTTAAAATGTAGAAGCAGCAACCGAACACAATAGCTATTGCATTCAATTCAATTGCTTGCAATTACGGCGGATGATTTATGGCACACCATTTTAGAAAGGAAAGAAAAAAACTAAAAATTCAATTTGTTGAACTAAACGCTAAAAACAAGTGGTTGTATGCTGTTGCCAGGCTGCTATGCGCGCTCATATACTGTGAACAAAGGCAAAATAAGCGGCTGCCATTTTTTGTGTTTAATATATATTTGGCCGAATGAATTTTACGTTAATAATTGTCCTAAATTTCTCGAGACGAAGCAAAAGCGACAGAGCAAAAAGCCAGAGCGGAATAAATAAATTTGCACGTCCATTCAGTTTAAATGCATTGTGTATGCTTGCAGGGCATTTAAGGTAAATAATGAGGAGCGCGCGCTGAGAGTGGAAAAAGATGGAGTATGCAAGTGATTGTTGATTGCATTTGGTTGAAGCGATGAAAGCCCAAGAAATCAACAAAGAAAAAGAAGAAGAAAAACGGGGAAAAAACGAACGAAAGAAAGGGAAAAAAACAAACAGGCGGTGAATAAATTTCAAAGAAAATAGAATTGGGTTATTGGCCATGTATACATAATGTGCGAGTACAGCGTTTCCATTGTACAACGATTGAGCGAGAAAATTGTGTGTTTTCTTTTTTTTGTACGAATAATATATATGGCACTATAGTACACACACACACAGGGTGACTACTCGACCATGGCCGATGAGCTTTCCATCCCCAAATGAACACTTTGCATCAATGATTTACGGCGAAAATACACAGATATACACTCACGGAGAGAGAGAGAGAGTGAGAAAGGAAAGTATTTGCAGTCCGTTTTCCGATCAAGACAACAATCGTGGCAGTTATCACCTGCTACACTCTCTGCATTACGATGCACATTTTAGATGCGCTTTCTCGCTTGTGACATGCCTATATGCATTTTTTAAAAGATGTTCGGGATAACTGCATTTGCAAAAGAAATTATGCAGTGACTGTGTCTCGCTCTTGCCCTCTTATTCCATCGCTTACGATGTTTGTCGATGTGCTCCGCAGCAATCAGCCCCTTTGAATCACCACCGATGTTGGCTTATGAACTGTACACATTTGCATGCAGTGTGCTATGTTGTTTTTTGTTGGCTTTGGATGGTGCATCAAAGGCAAATGAGAATCGGTGACCGATGAACGGCATCAAAGATGCCAGCCAAAAAGAACGAGATGAAGCGGGCGAACCATGTCATCATTTTCTGCATTCTCTTTTATTCATTTTTGCCGTCGATTCCTCATATTTTGCCTTTTTTATATGCATTTCTATTTCTTCTACTTCATGAAGTGCCATTATTTTTGCAACGAGCTTTTTCACTCTTGTTCTCCCTCTCTCGCTCGCTCACTTGTTCTCTCTCTATCGTTCTCTTCCACTTCGTCTCATTCTCGCTTGCTCGACTCATCACGCCGCTTCATCACTGTTCACTACTTTTTTTTCTTTCGCACTACCATGATAAATATAATTAATCTATTCAAGCTTTATTTGAGTTCCCATTGTACGTGTGATGCAATAATGGCGTCGAGAGTGAAACTTGACATCACGATTTCTTTCCTGTTTTATTACAAGGTGTTGCTATATATTATTTTCCTCGCTGTTTTTTTCCATTCAACACCACTACCACCAGCCACCACCATTCGCCACCCTTTCATATTATCGTCATTCACCACTCCATCGCTGCTAATGCTGTATTTTTGCTGAGGCTTAATTCCAAACAAATATGCGAACAGCAGCAGATGAGAGGCGAGAGAAAAAGAGAAAGAGAGAGAGAGAGAGAGAAAAAAAACGGAAAATATAATCACAAGTAGCAACAGCAGCAGCCGCAGCAGCAGCAAACAATATTTACAAAGCTCTTTGGTGTGAGCACGAAAATGACAAGAGCCAAGTGATTTTTATTCTCTTCTCTCTCACGTTTTCCTTGAGTGATATAACAATGATGCGGACAAAAAATAGAACCTCTTGATCATTTAAGGCCACTGTGGATTATCAGCTTAGCGGTAGTGTTAAATTTTGAGCTTATTCTTTCCGTTTGTTCCGATTTGATTGTGTGGCCGGCAGGATAGAAGAGATTTGTCGCTGTGAACTAGCACACATGGGTTCGTTCTCCCATTCGGTTGTGTGTGTGCTGGTGGCGGTTGCAATGCGATATTCTACGATTGTAGACTTTATTCTGCGATTGTCAGTCAGCTTAGTCATCACACCAGCCAGCACCATGGCTCATTATATCGTGCTTTAACTCCCTCTCACTCACTCACTCACTGACTCACTCTGAAAATCAATCGATTTTAATTGAATTTTCGCAACCAATACCAATTGAACGAAGTTAATTCAAGAACTTTCTTTTGAACAAAGCACACCACAAGTTTCAATTAATAAAAACATTTAATTCTCGTTAATAATTGCCTCAATTTTCTTTCTTATTGCAGATAATCAACTAATTCATTAATCTTTTAGTACAATGAAAACAATGAAGATGAAACCATGTATTTTAACAAAGAATCCAATTTTTTAAAAGAAATCTATGAGAAGATTTAGGATAGTTCAAAGATTTCCGTCGCAACAACAACAACAACTAAAACCAAAACTAAACTAAACTAAACTGAAGATAAATAAGGGCGATTCGCATGAAAGCATCCAACGCAACAACAAAACTAAAACGCCAATACGACGAATGAAGTTCAACTAAAACCAATTTTTTTAGTTTTAACAAGAGACCGAACACATCGACACAGCAACTATCCAACCAGAAGAAGCAGCAGCAGCCGACGAAGTAGAAATACAAGTGTTTAGAGCACAAGTTTTGGAATATATTTTTAAAACCATATTGTACCGAATATGCACAAATCAATCGGAAGGCCAGCGACTAAGCAAACCGATGAACATCCGCTAGCCGAAATGATTCGCATGGGTTCATAGTGACAAAGTGTGACACACTAGTGACAAACAACAACAAGAAAAAATTATGTGCCTGTGCATAAGATTCATAATAGTCCGACACAATATTTTTGTTTTCGTTCAAATGCGAAACCATAACACGAAGCAAAGGAATTAATTTTGAAACAAAAGAAAAAGTTAATAATTAAAATCTCTAAACATCGAGACACATACACATCTATATAAAGAGAGAACGATAAAAAAGAAGCTAAAAATATTGCAAAATTAAACCAAAATCCAATTATTGTTTGGGGTGGTGGCGGTGGTAACAGAAAAAAATGGCCGATATGCCTGATCTATCTCACCTAACCGCAGAAGAGCGCGCCATCATCGAAAATGTGATGATGCGACAGCGCCACGAAGAGGAACAACAAAAAGAGATAGTGCAGTAAGTAATCAATTTTTATTCCATTTCCTTGCATTTCGAAACTCTCTTTCCGTGCGAGCACACTGCTCCACAACTGGAACATTGCAGCTTTTTTTATTTTTCTGCCAGTGGATCTGCGTTTTTTTTCGCTATTCCTCGTCTTCCAGTCAATTTGACGTTCTTTTGTCGATTGACACACACACACACACACAAAGCGTGTCTCTCATTCATGATATGCTTTCTCTTTTTTATCTCCTTCCTCCTTCGTCTTTTGGCACAAAGAGATGCTGTCAGATAGACGGCTCTTGTGATAGCGGCAACAAGCTCTTTACTCCATCCATTTTAAGCCGAACGATTATACGTACTATATGATGTGGTTCGATGATGGTCGGCACTTGGACATTTATCAAAGTGCATAAATGCAGCCATACTGAATAAATTAACTATTTATAAAATTGACATTCAGTCAGACGACAAACGCAAACTCTGCACATTGCAAATGTGCCTATTGTTTTGAACCACATTTACAAACACACACACCAAAGGAGAGGCAGACACACGCACACATACGGTCTATTGTGTATCAGTGAGCTGTGAAGCCAATCATTTCTCCATTGAATGCAATCCATTTGGTTACTTCGTTGGCTTTCAATGCTCAATAAATTACTTTATTGAATTAAACCATTGATTGGTTTTGTGAGTCTCTGTCCTTCTCGCTCTGTCTCTCTCTCTGTCTGTCTTTGATATTGATATTCACCGACATCTCATTCAATGTGAACATTTTTGCGGTTTTCCATGACAATATAAAATAAATTCAATCGGAGAAGATGGTACACGCTCGATCTATTAACCGAACAGTATGAAAGCAATCAGATGATGTAACTAATTTTGCTTTCCATTTGGCCTGCGATTCTTGGGCTAGGACTTGGTGCGGAAAGGGAAGCCAAGGAAAGAAAATAGGATGCAGGAAGTGCTCGAGTATAAATTCCATAACAAGTGGAGTTGCGAGAAAGGGAAAAATCAATGTGGTAAGCACCCAACAGCAAAAACAACCACAACGACGACGACAATGGCAATGGGTACAACAAGATTGTACTCTGGATGCGAGATGCAACTAGCAACCAATTCTTTTGACTCACTCTCAATCCTTTTGACCTTATCTGAATGAGTAACAGTGTGTACTTCACTCTGTATGCATTCCCAATAAAACACATACAAAACCGAGCAGAAGCGATGAGTCTATAAATTTGAAATTTTCATTCGACACAAAAATAAGACACCATTTGCACAAGCTTCACTAGCTTTCACTCTCTCTCTCTCTCTCTCTCTTGCCTCTCGTCGTTGTTGCGTCACAGCCCGTCATCATCACACTGAGATTGAATACACTTCAGAACGCCAAAAGAACTTGTGAACATGACAACAGCAAAGCTGTTAGCGAAATGCAACAATGAATAGAAAAAAACATACACACATTGCATATGAATATAAAAGTGAAACGAATTCGAAGGAAGCTATTTGCGTAAATGTTCTTTTATATAGCGTCATTGATGATGATGAAGATGGCGGTGGTGGTTAGGATGGTGGCAGTTCCACTACACAAAAGCAAAGCCCATTAGAAGGCATTTAATAACTTCGTTATAATTTTCAAGTATTTCGGAGAGAGTGAGAGGGAAGGCGAGTGAGATAGCAAATGACTAGTAGTACAAACAATTTATAGCGAACGCAAAAGAATAATGATGGGAAATTGGCATGGAATGCATTTTATTGATTTTTAATCATTAATGTATTTCGAAGTGCTTGAGATGGCTTCTTTTTTTATGCCGTCGTGACGTTTATTTGATTTTTTTTCTGCTCTTCTTCTTCTTCAACTTCTTCTTCAGTGGGAAATCACTAATTTATGTTGAGTGGCAGTTTCAATTGGGGCTTTTGAAATACTGAAAGCATATTGAGAACATTTTTCGCTTGAAATGTTGGCTTGCAATCTTGAGAAACATGCGAGTGCACGTGCAACATCAACCATCTAAATGTTGTGATGGATTTCGATTGAGAGAACAAGAGAGTTTCGATTTTCGTTTCGATTGATTTTGGTTCAATTTATAAAACTTCTGAAAATATTGAATTTTCCTTTTCATTCGCAGACGAAAACAAGAAGAAGTTAATACATTAGAAGATACGATTCGACAACGATCGGAACAGCAGCGGAAAGCCGGAATTGAATTAGAAGCAACGTGTCACATATGTTTGAAAACGAAATTCGCCGATGGTGTCGGTCACATGTGCCATTATTGTAATATACGTTGTTGTGCTCGGTGCGGTGGTAAAACAACAATCAGAGGAAAGGTAAATACGTAGATCGGAATTATAATGTGGTCAAAGGAGATAAGAACGAATGTAGATGAATCGATGCGTCATCATTTTGTTTGTTTTCATTGACAAAACACTCTCATTTTATACAGGCCATTTGGGTGTGTGTGCTGTGTCGCAAAAAACAGGAACTTTTATCGAAGACTGGTCAATGGATTAACAAAGCTGCGGAAGCTGACGGCTTTATGCGTCCTAGTGGTGTAAGTAAAAACCAAACGAAAATTGGCCATTCATTTTCATTTTCATTTTTCGTTAGCATATTTTCACAACTCGGGTGCACGCTTCAATTTCAATATTTTTTCTTGTTCCTTTCCTTTCCAATTTCAATATCAAATTTTGCAGTCACTTCATCCAGATCCATCGGATAAACGACCAAAGTTAGAACGAGCTCGAAGTGCTGCCGAAAAAGAGAATCACCCATTACAACGAACTGGCAGCGGATTGAGGCGCCAATATTCACACGATTCGAGTGTTGATATGCTCAATCCGGCGCAACGACGCATGCAACAACAAATTCAAGCATCGAACACACCGCAACATTTTCAACAATCATCGTTATATGGAACGAATCATCAAGCGACACATCAACAACCATCCGATATTTATTCGACCGGCGAAGATCCAAAGTACTATCAGGTATGCAATCAGTTTTGGTGGATGAAGTGGATAAAAAAGAAGAAGAAGAAGAAGGAAACTGGGTATCATGGAAAATGCATAATGCACATAATTCTCGATCAATTTTTCTCTCTCTCTCTGTTTATCGTTGATCCTGCAGGGAGAACTAGACGGGCTGATGTTACAGCATCCTCATTTAATGCATTCTCGACAACAACGACATTTTACAACGCAACAACAACCACATCCTCACTCATCGGGAATCCAATTGCCTCAGCCAATGCAATCACATTATCATCGTCAAGACCATTTGCATCCTTCGCAGCAGCATTCGAGTAGCGGTGCCGATATCCAAAGTAAGTTTACTGTTTATGCCTGAAGCAAAAAGACAGAAGAGATAGGGAGGAAAGAGAGGAGGAAGCGAGAAGTAAAAATTTTGCGAGGGATGAACTTTTCAAATGACGCATTATCCATGATAAGACGCACAAAAACAGCTCATTCCAACCGATGCATTGAACAAATTCCGTAGAAATTTTTCGCAATATAATTAGAATGCGTAGGTGTTTAAAAGCATACTTAACTGATAAGAGAATATCGTTTGTTCCATATTTCTAGACATTAAGCCGCATAAACGACCAATCGTGGGCCATTTAGCTCAACAAACATCATTTAGTAGTTCCGATGAAGAATATGACGGTGAGTTTTATTTTCGCTGTTAGCAGTCAATTTCGTTTTTCTTGTAGCTTTGCCATTTTATTTGAACAGAAAACAGAACAACCATTCCATTAGCTCGCATTTACCGTACTTTAGTTAAATATAATCCAAATCTTTTAACAAACAAAAATCTTAACTCCCATTTTAATACCAAATTGAAAAACAAAACAATTCAAAACCAAAAGAAAAACACCTGAATACAAACAATTTGTGCGCTGCTTACACAATGTTCAGCGCACAAAACACACACACACACACACACACACACACATATAAATGTATCCAAAAACAATCACAGAAAAAGAAAACATACTACTTCAAAACCACAAAACTACACATGACAAGTGATTCATTCAGTATATGTTTATATGTATGTATCGAACGATTGGTCTGTTTCCCCATCATACACAAGACACACATCCACATAGTGTGCTTGTGATAGTGATGTCATTTGCCAAAAAAATTATTACCATCCAGATTAGCTAATGAACATGCATGGCGGCGCAACTTCTAACTTTTTTCCATACACTCCAATTCACTTCGCTCACTCACTCAGTCACTCACTCTCGTGTACACATGCTATCGACATCAGTTTTCGAGGTCATCGCAATCTGTCTCGCTGTTGTTGCAAAAGAAGAAGAACTAAAAAACCGTCGCTTGCCAACAAAAATGGCTTTTATTTTTCTTCTCTTGAATCCATTGGTCGCGCGCTCTTACACACTCATCTTATTATTTCTCGATGAATATTACTGACCTCATTTCATGCATCAAGCACAGTCGATTTTCTGTATGCAGTGGGATGCTATTCAGAATTTGCAAGAAAAAAAAAGTATTTCGCTCTCTCGCTTGATCTCTTGCTGCCTTTCTCGTTCGCTGTAATGAATGCAAGAGGCATCAAGCATCAATATGAATAATAATTCGGATGAGAATAGCGAAGAATCCGTATTGAAATTCAATCAAATAATGCGATAAGAAGATGATTCATTCAAGTTTGTTGGAGACCGACAACTCAACTCTCATACACACACACACACACACACACACACACACACTCATACAAAAATGGCAGGAAAAAACAACACACAGAAAATCATTCATACAATAAACGAGATAAAAGTCTGCACCATTCATTTCATTTGCCATGCATATTGTACGCATAGATATACATATATAATAATTTAAATGCTGTATATCAAATTTATGGTGAAATGACGACAATGTCTTGGCAACGTGAAAACATATCCGAAAAAAAGACAAAAGTTGTGCGACAGAGAAAGAGCAAACAAGCTAAAGTATTTATCGATTGCTGTACGCTGCGTCATTTTTTTACAACAACAACAAACTAACCAACCAACGAAACCAACCAAACCGACCGAGCGCAGGCACAAAAAAAAATACACACAACATTACAATAATACACGTTGGCCTCATCGTCGGCTTCTGTAATGTATGTGCAGAGTGTGCAAGATGTTTTACCGCGATCAAAATTCATAATTTTTCATTGAGCTTTGCATACCAAATAAAAAATACGGCAAAACTAAATTCGCAGGCAAAACCAACAACATTGCCAAGCCAACAAAACGCGCAAGAATACCTAGAGAAAAAGCACCCGAAAAAAAGAATTAAAGTGAACAGCACACGAAAAAAGAACAACCTGAAAATAAACAAAATAAAAACTAAAAAAAGAACGAAAGCGAGCAAAAGTCAAAGGCTAATTTGAAACAGAAAATAACGGCAACCAAAATGCGCAGTACATAATGGGATTCGATGTTATTTTTTTCATTCTGTTCTCTTCACTTGTCTCTCTGTCTCCTTTTCTTCTTCTCTGTTTGTTCTTACGTTCGTCCTCTGCCAATTTTCGTAATTTCATATTTGCTGACGTCTCTTAGCACACAGCATATACACCACCCACGATTTTCTCTGATTCACTCACTTAATATATTGTCTGTTGCGGATAACAAACACCATGTACACACACTCACTGAATAGCAGCAGCAGCAGCACCACCACCACCAGTACAGTACACATCGGCGGTCTCCGTGCAAGAGTGAGCGAGAACCGATTTTGTGTGCTTATACACCATCCACTGGCGTCTAAATGAAAACGAAATAATGGCAACGAACAAACTACGTCAGTGTTTCTATTGCCCGAAAACGTATACGCCAGCACACGATGTGCTTAGAGCGAAACAGGCGAAAATCTATTAATGGTGAAATTTTCATGAATGGAAATCGTTTGTTGTTGTAAATGTTCCATCGTATTTTCGGTGTGATTTTCTCTCAGTTTCAGCATTTCTCTTTTCCACATACACTCGACTCACACACACACACACACACACATACACACACACACACACACACACACACACACACACACACACATGAATGAGCGCACATATTAACATGTATTCCCATTTCGAGTTAATCAATTCGGTCGATTGTTGTTTTTTTCTTTCTTCTTCCTTTCATTCTTTATTGCTTGGCTTGTTGGTGTGCGAGAGTGAATGAGTAAGAGCCGGGTTCAAAAATGAAAAATCGTCATCATGCTTCGCAGCTCAATGGCTACGACGGATCATTTTCATTACGTTGATAGAACCAACCACTTTTGTTGGATATTAGAAGCGTCATTCACAAAGATGTATAATATTTCAATTAGTGGAATTAAATGAGCAGCAGTGACGGCGACAACGACAGCACCAGCAGCCTATTTTCAAAAGCTCAAGATATATGCAAATTGTCTAACGATCCAATGACTCAGAATTAATCGAAAAGCGAAAATGTTCATCGCATTCGAAAATTATAGAAGAAGAAACATTCCAAATCCGGAGCTTATGTGTCCAATATATCGCAACAACTTTGCGAAAAGTAACGAAATTCGGGTATACAGATAAAAAGGGAAAAAGAAGAAAAATAAATCAATAATCAAAGCTCCTATCTCGCCCCCGTCTTCGTTTTCACACTCCGTTCTCATTCGCATCATTTGACGTCACCGTCGCATACAAACATCACAAGCGCTTAAAATGATAGCGGCAATGAATAAAACAACCACGCTACGAAGAAAGGAAAAAAAAGAAATCGTCGGCAGCAAAAGCAGCAACAACAACAGTAACGCACAACAAACATGCCAATAAAACCAATATAATAAAAATCAAAGTGCGACGACAAATTGAAACGAGCACTAAACTGTTATCCATACTAGAAATAATAATAAAAAGAAAAAGACGAACCAAACAAAACGACCGAAACCATCATATTCTAGTTTCGTTCGAATGGCATGCATGAAAGTGGTGTCATCGTGAAAATCACGTGGGTTTGGAGAGTACAATATGATGTAAAACCTCGCCTTCATTGAAGTGGAACAATGGCATGCCATTGATATGGTTAATAAAACAAGTTTCTAAAATAAACACAAGCGAGCACAGAGCTCAAAAGAGACGCGCGATAGTTTTCTAGTTTCGTTTTTTTTCTCTCTTCTGTGCAGCACAAAATCTTGTATCTTCACCTTTTCAAGAGCACGTGCTATATAACAGTGCCGTGCCGTGTGTTTGTATGTGTATTGTTTTGTCAATGGAACGTAAGTGAATGAGTAAGGAAAACCATTTGAAAATTTTGCAAAGTTTTCGCGTTCTTGTTCTCTTTCTCTCTCTCTTCCTCTGGAGCAGCGGGTACATGTTCTATGAATTCCAAATCATCATAGATTTCAACGGAATTGGTTGGATGGAATCGAGACACATACACACAACGCGCATAATACACCTTAGAAAGCTTTGCTGCGCCAATTAGCCCGAAAAGTTTTCGAAATCGTCGAAAACGGCGCTACAAATACTTTGACCCGAACGAACGAGACAGGAAGTTGAAAGTCGTTGAAAATTATTAAGATCAAAGCCAAAAATTGAAATCAAGCATGACACAATACGTCTTTCTGTCGTGCGCGCTATGCGATATTTTTTCCAAACAAAGCACATGCATTATTCTCGCCCTTTTCCACAAAAAGCTCTCATTCCATTGGAAGTGAGTTCATGTGTATTTATTTGCTTTCTTTCTAAATCATTTGGGACATGAGAGACCATTTCCCTTTTATTTTTATTTTTTTTCTTCTTCTTTATTCTATTTTCCCTTTATGCTGCGCGCCTCCATTTGAAATGCCATTCTCTCTCGCTCTCTGCACGCATTATGAAGTGTTTATACACACACATCCGAAAGAAAACAATATAAATTTAGAAAATCAAGATAAAAAGAAGTTAAAGTATAAATATCACGTTACCAAGTTTAGAATGACGAAAATTCGTCGCTTTTCGTACGTTGTTTTTTTTATTCGCCAATTCGCATGCGCATTTATGGGCCATGCATATTCATTCATTCGATGTGAATGCAAACTGATTGTGTGTATTTGTCACTGTTTCGCTCACTCTCACATATCATTCTGTTCCATTTTGCTTCAGCAGCCGCAGCAGCAGCACACACACACACGCAAACCATTTCGCCTCGATTTTTGCAGTATTATCGAGTTTTTCTACTACTGATAATCCTGACTGAAGTCAACGAGCGAGTGAGTGAGAGTGTTTTTTCGGAAGAAATAGCACGCATTTCGATTGTGCTTGAATGGGCATGTGTGTGTATGTGCCGTCGCTATTACTATTGCCACAGATTCCTACAGTCAATGTGTTGGAAAACGAGCGACAGAGTTTTACAACGGCGAATACGATTCGGTTTTGGTTATGCATTTGATTTTCACTCCGTTTTCTTCATTTTGCTTTTTTTATTTCTGCTGCGTTCCCATTGTGGTGACGCTAGTGTAACGTTTCTGCTTGCGAATGTATTGTGTACGCACCGTGAGCGGCGCGAAATCATTGCATTCAACGTCAAAGCCGTGGTGCGGTCGTAACGCCGTGTTGCCATCGTCTGTTAGCATGCTTGCACAGCCGTTTCGAATGAAAAACATCCACCACCATACATGTATGCATACGTACTTATATTGAAGGC